AGGTGTCTCGGCTTATATTTGGGTCGGCTTATACTCGCGTATATACGGTAAATGCTCTATTGCATTATCCCTGATTATAATTCCCAGGATGTAGATTTCTCTGACAACATAGGCCTTACAACAGTAGCTCTCAAACATTTCTTTAACAGAGACTCCCTTTAAATATATTTTGTTGCTGCAAACCATCAAGACTTAGCTCAAGATTCAAAACAATATGTAAAAATGCATCAAATACTTAAAAGTTGCTTATCAAGGGTCTTCAAATTTGGAAAGAAGGGAGAAATAAGTAGTAAATGAACACATTCCTATTTTATTGGAATGATTCCATAAATAATAACAACCCTGAACGCTGACCTATTACTTGATTTTAATTAATTAATGAGAAGCCTGGTGCTACATTTCATTCTCTTTAACTTACAAGCCTTGTTATATGAGGCTTAATAGCGGAAACGTGCATTCTGAGTTCCAATTCTGTTTTTCAAATTTTTAATATACTTACTTTAAGACAAATGAGAGCAGAGGATAATTTTTCACACAAGTATCTCATTCTGAAAGGCATCAATACTTTCATAGACCTCTTCAAGAGCAACAGAAAAATCTGCTCGTGAGCTCTGAAATATGGGAGACTGTACTTTCAGAGCGCCGTCTCCTGAATATTTCTATGAGCTGGTCTTCCTCTGTTCTTCTGAGCCCCTCTATTTCATACAAATTTATTGCAGCCTCAGCTCATCCACAGCAAAGGCAAAATGACTTGCGACTCTTCGAAAAGCTGCATGAGCTCCTCTCAGTACTCCAGGCAAGAGCAACCTCTTTTCCTTGGGTGCCTCGGGCTGCCTTGACTTGATCTGACCTCCCCTTCCACCCAACCCTTTCCTACAAGTCCCTCATGTACTGGCATGGTTTGTGAGCTGTCACACACATAGCCCTGAGCACCCAGCACCATCCAGCACACAAAGCAGGCTCTCCAGAGTTCAGCCATATCTTGGCCTGATGCCTGAAGCAGCAGCTTGAGCGGGGGAGAGGAAAAGGAAAATTTGGTGCCCTCTGCTCACCTAGACAGCCGTATCCTGTCCACCAAGGCTGGCCCTTTTCTCGCTACTTCCCTCTTCCAAATTCACATGTCACTCCCCACCCACCCCCTTTTATCCCCCTGCTGTCTGCTACTCACTACTACAGGAGGAGGATGAAGTCGGCTCCTATTCATGCACTTTCCATGCCTTCATGGAGTTGAGAACTGCGAGATGGATGGATGCCCACTAGTCTCCGAAAAGGGCTATGAATATGGGTTCCACTGCCGCTCTCTTTGCCTACTGTCAAATATTTCAGGGGCAGACAAGGGTGGAGGCAAAGATGCCAACAGAGAGGAGCTGGGGGTAGGGTCTTTTTCAACTGATTTGTTTTCCAGCAGCCAAGAGCGGGAGCGAGGGCTACCGATATCACACAGCAGAGCCAAGATCATATCCAGGTGCTCACTGATTCTTCAGTAGTTTCCTAGGCTCTTCTAGACTAGAGCAAGGGTCCACAAACTAAGGACTATGGGCCAGATGTAGCTCTCCAAGGTCCTTTACTTGGCCCCCCGCCTTAAACTTTAGATGTAGGGTCGTCCTAAGTCTGAAATGACTTGAAGCCACACAACAACAATCTTAATTAACTTGACTAATCTCATCAGCGCAAAGCAGGCCCAGGCTTCCCATTGAAATACTGGTAAGTTTATGTTGGTCAAAATTGGGTTGTTGTAGGTTTTTTTCAGGCTATATGGCCATGTTCTAGAGGCATTCTCTACTGACGTTTAGCCTACATTTATGGTAAGCATCCTCAGAGGTACAAACTAAGGACTATGGGACAGATGTAGCTCTCCAAGGTCCTTGGCCCCCCGCCTTAAACTTTAGATGTAGGGTCGTCCTAAGTCTGAAATGACTTGAAGCCACACAACAACAATCTTAATTAACTTGACTAATCTCATCAGCCCAAAGCAGGCCCAGGCTTCCCATTGAAATTAACGTGAGATCAATTATTTGTCTGGAAATTGGGTTGTTGTAGGTTTTTTGGGCTATATGGCCATGTTCTAGAAGCATTCTCTCCTGATGTTTTGCCTGTATCTATGGCAAGCATCCTCAAAGGTTGTTCTCTCCTGATTTATTTATTTATTTTATTATTTTATTATTACCAATAGCCAGACAATCAGATATTGAGAACAAAAACCTCAGTGTGACAACTCCTCTTCACTGATCCTCCTGAGTGTGCGTTGCCGGAGTGATTAGGATACCTGTATGAGGAAAAAAAAAAAAAAAACATACACTGTTGGAGGGCCAGATTATAATTTGAAAAAAACATGAATGAATTCCTATGCACACTGCACATATCGTATTTGTAGTGCGAAAAACACTTAAAAACTATACAATAATTAAAATGAACAATTTTAACAAATATAAACTTGTTAGTATTTCAATGGGAAGTGTGGGCCTGCTTTTGGCTGATGAGATAGGATTGTTGTTGTTGTGTGCTTTCAAGTCATTTCAGACTTAGGTTGACCCTGAGCGAGGGCCGGGTAAATGACCTTGGAGGGCCGTATTCGGCCCCTGGGCCATAGTTTGAGGACCCCTGCTCTAGAACATGGCTAAAACCTACAACAAACCAGTGATTCCGGCCATGAAAGCCTTCAACAATACATTGGTCAAAATTGTTCTTAATTTCAAATATTGTATTGTTCTTTCATATATTTTTTTGCACTACAAATAAGATATGTGTAGTTTATATAGGAATTTGTTCATTTTTAAAAAAACCCCAACTATAATCTAGCCTCCCAATAGTCTGAGGAACCGTGACCCCTGACCTGGAGACTCTTTCTGTCCTTTACGGATGCTCTCTGATGTCACCACAGCACCTTCAGGGGTCCATGGGTGACAGGTTAAGAACCACTACTTTAGAATATTCAGATTACCTGTTGTTTTTTCCATAAATCAACAAGAACTTCCCATCCTGTCTTTTATAATTGTCCCGTATTGACAGTTATACTCTGCTCTCTGTCAAGACTGAATGTATTTAAAAATATAAATATAGGAACACGAGAGCAGCCCTGCTAGACTGTATCGAACATCTTACTTCCAACAGGGGCCAGATGCCTCTGAAAGTCCAAAGTAAACAGTCCACCACTGAAGAATTCAGAATGGTCTAAAGCCAATCAGGAATCCAAGAGTTAAAATATAAAGTGGCTGTGATGCAAAAATACTTGAAAACAGCCTGGTCTTGGTTCTTCCTAGTGGATCATTGTCCTTTATAAAGCACCCTGTGTTTGTAGGAAATATGATAGAGCTTTTAGCCTTAATATTTACTTCATTGTGCTAGTACAATGTCTGGATCTTACACTGCTATGGAGGTTCTCTTTTGTAACATCTTCTTATGCTCTTCTTTGAGTTATGTCTACACCGGAACCAAGGCAGGTGACAACCAGAAAGACGACTTTTAAGATGCAATATTGCATCAATGATATTCCTTCCCTAGCAAATCATACCAGCTGCCTATGTTGGAAGACTACCATTGGGTGACTTCAGCTTCCCAATGTTTCCAAAGCAGGGACTTAGACTCATAGAGTTGGAAGCAAGCACAAGGGGCATCCAGTCCAATCACCTGCCATAAAGGAAAAGCACAATCAAAGTACTTCAGACAAATGGCCAGCCAGCCTCTGCTTAAAAATCTCCAGCTTCGAGGCAGTTAATTCTACTGCTGAAAAGCTATTGCTGCCAAGAAGTTATTCGTAATGTTCAGGTGGAATCTTTTTTCTTGCAATTAGAATCCATTTCTTCATGTCCTAATCTCCAAAACAGTAGAAAACAAGCTTGTCCCCTCCTCAATGTCACATACTTTCAAATATTTAAATATGCCTGTCAGGTCTCCTCTCAGCCTTCTTTTCTCCAAGATAAAGAGAATCCAGGTCCCATTTCTCATAGGGCTTGGTCTCCAAACCATTGCTCATTTTGGTTGTCCTTCTCTGAACACATTCCAGATTGTCAATATCTTTCTCTAATTGCAATGCTCAGAACCAAACAGGTTGAGGTCTGACCAAAGAAGACTTGAATTATTCTAATATGTTTATGTTGGAATGTTGCCATTTCATGAGAAAGACTACAGTCCCTCTTATACACTTGAAGAGATGAAGGCTTCAATGCTACAGATTTACTTGGGGGAAAAACTCCACTAAACATACTGAGATACCAGTCCGAAACCCACACAGACTATGTGAGAGGAAGCCACAGGGAGGAGGGAGCAAGCTTGTTTTCTGCTGCCCTGGAGACTAGGACGCGGAACAATGGCTTCAAACTACAAGAAAGGAGATTCCATCTGAACATGAGGAAAAACTTCCTGACTGTGAGAGCCGTTCAGCACTGGAACTCTCTGCCCCGGAGTGTGGTGGAAGCTCCTTCTTTGGAAGCTTTTAAACAGAGGCTGGATGACCATCTGTCAGGGGTGATTTGAATGCAATATTCCTGCTTCTTGGCAGGGGGTTGGACTGAATGGCCCATGAGGTCTCTTCCAACTCTTTGATTCTATGTTGATATGGGTAAATGTGAATAAATTGCTATTAGTGGTATGTATCCTACACATTTAGCAGAGGTGCTACAGGTCAGAGGTAGATAGATGGACAATGTTGTATATGGAGGTCCACCTACATCTACAGTATTTCCTGAAACATACACCTGAAAAAGTCTCATTATCATTATAGGGGCACCTGCAAGGGCAGAATATAAATTCCTCCATGTCTGCACGTATTTTTGTAACTTCACACATATCAAGTTCTATCTGTTGGATCACTGTGTTGATCAGTTTCTAATCTCATGTACAAAATCTGAATATTTTCCTCCTGGCTAACTACTGCCTATCAGTTGGAGGGGGGCAAATATCTTACTTGGTTATTTTTTTTATTTAAATAAACAAACTTTTCATTGTTGCAAATGCAAAAACAAACAGAAAAAAACAAACAAAAAATCCCGAAACACAGAATGTAACACAGGAAGAAAAAAATTTCATTGAGGATAAATTGCATATTCCAAGTATCAGGTAAATGTTAAGTGACCAGTTTCTTTTCTTACAGTTCTACCAGACAGAGAAAGAGAGAGAGCGAAAAAGCAAGAAAAAACCAATGAGTTTAACTGGAATATCTGACTTGTGGTTAAGCACTTTTTAAAAAAGAAAGAGCATATCCACGTCATTTGTTTTAATTGTGTGTAAAAACCCTTGACTTTGCTATAAGATCAATGTTGTTATTGATTTTTACAAAATAAAGAAAACTCCTCTACCATTTCCCCCTCCTCCTACCCTATTCTGGTCAAGAACTACTCTACACATCCAGTCAACGGATGCAACACATCACTACCATGCTATTCTATCCAAGTCATGTAGGATAATTTTTCATAGTAAAGATAAATAGAAAAAGGAGTTATCATACATGGTTTGTTCTATTTTACATAAAGTTTCAATTCAAGCTGTAAACTAAGGTCCTTTTGAGCTGATCACGTTTACCCTCAGTAATATATTTACAAAAAGACAATGTTTAGATATTAAAGGCAGGTTATCCAAAACATTACATTAAAGGCAAAGAAGTTTCTCTTTTCCATCTCAAAAAGTGATGGGCAAGGAACTCACTTCAGCCTGCACCACCTGCCCATCACCTGGCTTTTTTACACAGCCAAACATCTTTATCTACAGAGGAATTAAACCACTGAAATAATAATAAAAGCATTCTTCATCTCAAAATAAACTGTCAAAGCCCAGAGAATGAAATACAGTTGATTTAAGATGACAGTTCATTTGAAATCAGAATCCTTTAGCTTATGCGTATGAGTTTAATGCAGTCCTTGTGTTACACGGGTGTGTTAGTCAAGAGGTCCTTGGAAAATAAGTCTTATGTAGCCTTGTTCCCCAGAAAGCTGATGTGCGCAGAAAGGACAGGCGGCATGAAAAGTGTGGGTGCCATGAGGAAGAGGGATTTGAGACCAATAGGAAGTTGTCTTTTCCGAGCACACGTGTCCACAGGGGCTGAACGCGTGAGTGGGAGGCCCAGCATCCACATAAAATCCAGCTTCACAGCCGAGCCATAGAGGCACATAGGGGCCGACAGACCGGCACATGGGGCATTCCCGATCCTTCCCATCTCTCTCTTCTTTGTTCCCCCAGTTATGGTAGCCATGGACGTGGCCACAGTTTAGATAAACCCAGGGTTGTTTTTCATCCACAACATCTTTTCGCTTCATACTAGGAAAGGCTAATGTGTTAAAGCCCACAGGGCATTGAGGCCTGGCGGCATTGATTTCCTGCCTCAGGGCTTCCAGATGCTTCACGGTCGGAGTGCGAGAGAGTCCTTCTGCAGTGCGCCACAACAAGGTCGCCCCGCAGAGGTCTATCAGTGAACCATCTTGGAGCTGGTTGGTTTCATTCTCCACCTGAGAGAGAAAAAAGGTAAACACAGATTACACAACACGAATCTTATGGAAAATGTCACTTATAAAATATGTTACTCTGGCTTTGTTCTGTTGCCAATTTGTTTCTGGGCAAAGTACAATGTATTGATTTTGACCTTTAAAGCCCCTACATGGTTTGGGCCTAGGTCATCTACAGGACCATTTCATTGGCTGCCCCAAGACTGGCACTCAACCTGTCAGAAGAGCTAAATCAGCTGTCAGAATTTAAGATACAACAGAAAACCTATCTTTTCCAGCAGGCCTACCCAGTCATAACTATGAATTTTAAGTTCACATTCCCTGTTTATTGTGTCTTAACTTTTGTTTCATATATTTTATATGTGTATGTTTCGATAAATGCTTTTATTCCAATATGTGCAGAAAATGAGGAAGCCATGCTGCTTTCAACAATGAATGAACAATTCTGTTTTTGTTCCATCCTATTTCTATATTAATTTGCTAATTTTTAATCAGCAATAACTTGCATTCTAGTACTTAAGTGTTTATTTCTGAATGAATTCTACTCAAACGATGCCTTTTAAAGTGCATTTTATTATTATTATTTGATTAGAGAAGCTTTGAACAAATGCTTCTGATAAATTCCAATCTGTACTTCACAGTAAAGATGAATATGGTTGGGCCCCCCTGCGCTGGAATACCCTCCCATCCTTCCATTCCAACCTGAAAACATGGATGTTCAGACAGGCCTTTGAGCTTGAGTAGGCTGAATGGCCCCATATGATGCTGACACTTGGCACCTTGTGAATTGACATCAGTTAGTTTTAGCTACTGTTGTTTTAAAATTGAATTATTTTGATTTTATGTTCCATATGTTGACGCAGGTTGTTGTCATAATTTTATGTTACTTGTTTCATACTTTTGTACTGTTTTACTTGTTGTATGTTATATTTGCACTCTGGAGTGTAAGCTGCCCTGAGTCCCCTTGGGGAGATGGTGGTAGGATATAAATAAAGATTATTATTATTATTATTATTCACACTGAAATTTGTGAAGACCAAATTTATCACACACCCAAACTGCCTATTCCCTATATGTTGCCCATACTCCTCTTTTACAAGAGGGTTGAAATGCTAGGATGCTGTCCATTTGGGCATTTGCACCTCTAAGCATCTGTGATTACTTGAATAGCTGTGGATACCCATAGCTGCAGAAAGAGTGCGATGGTAGAAATATTTGTATCTTCCCACATGCTTAGCATTTATATGTTAGTGGTAACAATTGTGTACATCAGGAGTTAGACGACAGGAATCCCACTGAAGTCCTTACATGACAGGTAATAAACCTCCTCATTCTTCTTGAGTGTCTTTCTAGATTCCATCTATATTACATAGGATTCTGTCTGAAGTAGTAATCACCTCTCAGATCTGGGGTGGGGAATGCATGGCCCTCCAGATACTGTTGAATGGCAACTTCTATCAAGACTGTCCACCATAACAATGATGATGGCAGTTGTAGTCCAGCAACATCTGGAGAGCCATTCATGTTTCCCCTCTCATGATGTTAATGGAGGGGAGAAGCACTTACAGAACAAGAGGGCTTCCAAAGAATGTGTCTTGTGTATTGTTGAAGGCTTTCATGGCTGGAATCACTAGGTTCTTGTGGGTTTTTTTCGGGCTATAGGGCCATGTTCTAGAGGCATTTCTCCTGACGTTTCGCCTGCATCTATGGCAAGCATCCTCAGAGGTACCTCACTACCTCTTGCCATAGATGCAGGCGAAACGTCAGGAGAAATGCCTCTAGAACATGGCCCCTTTAGCCCGAAAAAACCCACAAGAACCTAATGTGTCTTGTACCAAATAAGTATTGCTAATTCAATATATGCAATGTAATCTAATAACTCTTGGAGCAAAAGATAAGCGCTCTGACTCATACAGATCCTCCTTCTGAAAATATCTGTGTAATGCAGTGGGTCAAATTCTCATGGAAACAGAGTTCTCTATTCCAACTGGAGCATGACATCTAAACGTGTTATTCTCAGACTTACCATCTTTCCTCTCTGTTGAGCAGATCTTGTTTCTCGGAGACTGAACACATTCCCACATACCGATATCTCCCTCCACACGCCTGGCTTGGAGTCTTCAGTGAATCCATTGCGTGGATGCATAACAAGGACTCCGTTTGTGGTTAGCCCATCCATTTGCCCGTCAGAGGTCTTCCACTTGGCAGCCTTCTCCTATAGGAAAATATAATTTCTTAGTCATTCACCTGCAGATATGCAAGAAAGCAAGTTGGGATCTTAAGCCTGAACTGAACACCAATGGTCAATTGTCCCTTACCCCTAGAAAGATGTTTTTAGAGGAGTCAAAGCCTGCTGCATATATTCTTGCTGTGAAAGGAGGATTTCGTTCACATATTATCCTGCAGGCAAATCTTGAGATGGTGCTCTGAACAGACTGAGTCTCTGAATTGCTCTGGCTTCCAGGAACAGTATCTGTCACTACAAAGTCTATAGGGCTCTCTGTTGATCTCCCAATCTGTCAAAAATAAATAGATACAGCATAAAGCCAAACATTTCAGAATAAAATAACATTTAACCTCCCCCAGAAACCGTCTAGAATTCATGTTTGAATGAAACAGCACCCAAGTTTGTATATACCCTGTAAATATGAACCCTCCCTTTGTTCAAAAAGCAAAGCCGCTCGACATTTGACTTTTCTTTCAACATTGTGGTGTTGGGCTGTCGAAGAGCTGATCAGATTGCTAGTAAGGGTCTCTGCTGACTTTGAATGGCTGGCTGGAATCTTTAGCCCATGAAAAGAGAGATGCAGTAAGAATCCATGGCTTAACTCTAATAGTTATTTTGAGCTTCTTTAAACTATGAAGTAATAAGACGAACATCTCTAAGAGTCTAAGAATGGAAAGAGTTGGTTTCCTTCTGCCTTGTGTAACTGACATTCATCCTCATACAAGTATTAAAATGCAGCAGTTCTACAGCATAGTACCGAAAGACTAATTTTGACTTTGGTGGCTTCACAATTGAAGTAATATCTAAGAAGGGTCTTGCCCCACCTGTAACAGTTACCTGGCTTAGCAACTGGTCTTTGGATCCAAGTATAATTAGGGCAAAGGTGAGCTACTTAATTCAGTGTAAACACCAAATGCTTAGCTCTTTTTTTCCTAGCAGAGAACAATGAGGCACCTTATTGCTCTTGGCTGCCATTCAATCTATTCCTTCTTAGGTAAAGGAAGGGATACTTCTAAGTTAAAAATCACCAGAGTCTTCTAAAAGGTTCACATGAATGTGAAATCACAGAATCGGTCTGTTCAATGTAACTGTGTCCCTTTTCAGGCCACCCACACAATCAAGCTAGCACCGCTTAAAGACAGACTACAGAAATGGGCAGTAGTTCCATGTTGCCCCTTATGCCTAGGCCTCCGATTATCACCATGGCTGTATTTGTGCCATACCCATGAAAACACGGCTTTTGCTTTAAATCTGCCAGTGAGCAGCATGGTGGAACCCCTCCTCCTTCTTCCAAGTGGTGAAAGAAAAGCATTTCTGCCTTACAACAAGAGAACAGGGAACACATGGTTTTTTGGAAGCAAAGCACTCCAGGAAGCATGAACTGGCTTCCAAAGAACATGTGAAGCCCTGCTGCGTCTATTTTTAAAATAGAAGTGTGCAGATTTTATTTTCTCTCTCTCTACCATACCATCAAATTACAACAGCAAATGCGAACAGGATCTTGGTTAGCTAACTTACTGTTATACACCCTCATCCACCAAAGCTACCCTTTGTTTGCAGAAGTTTTAGTGGCACAAGTTTTGATATGATACATGTTTCTACTTTTGCATCACCCCTAGTTTTTTTTTTCCATGTCAGGAGCGACTTGAGAAACAGCAAGTGTGAAAGAATTGGCAGTTTGCAAGAACGCTGCCCAGGGGATGCCTGGCTGTTTGGATGTTTTACCATCCCTGTGGGAGGCTTCGTTATGTCCCTGCATGGGAAGCTGGAGCTGACAGAGCGAGGTCATCTGTGCTCTCCCCGGGTTCGAACCTCCTACCTTCGGTCTTCAGTCCTGCTGGCACAAGAGTCTAACCCATTGCACTACCAGGAGCTCCACCACCCCCAGGTGAAAAACACAAAGTTGCTTTACCAAAGTTCTCTTCTATCAGTTTCAGATCTCCTGCCATTACATGGGGCAAGGCAATTCAAGAGAGCCCTGGGTCAATTTACAGAACGGGAAAAATCAAGTGACTTTTTTTAAAATTAGAATATACAATTTCAGGCTGAGACGTGTTGATCACTTCTCAAACAAAAGCTCTTTCTATAAAGAAAAGTAGCATGCTGAGGAAAAAGCAAGACTAGATGTTTCCTTCCTGTTATGCTAGTTTTCCTATATGTATGGATTTGTATGTGTATGCATGCAGTGGAGCATGTAATCTGCTGAATGGGTGAAGAATTTTAGGGATTTCCCCCCTGCTTGGTAGGTCTTGTTGCATATGGCTTATTTCCTTTACAATCCTTGTTTGGCAAAAGAGTTGGCTTATCTGTGTTAGATTTACCAGTCTATTTCAAAACTCAAGTGACTGTGTTCATAGTACAGGCAGTCCCCCGGGTTATGAGCAAGATAGATCCTGTAGGTTTGCTCTTAAGTTGAATTTGTATGTAAGTTGGAATAAGTACATTCTTTAGGTTGTTATAGGTTTTTTCGGGCTATATGGCCATGTTCTAGAGGCATTCTCTCCTGACGTTTTGCCTGCATCTATGGCAAGCATCCTCAGAGGTAGTGAGGGGTGGTGAGGTACATTCTTTAAGTGTAACTCCAGCCAATTTTTGTTTCCAATTTTGGATAGTATAGGAAACAACAGAGATGGGAATATTATTAGACAAAAACTTCACAGTAGTGGAGTTCTGGTTGGAAGTAAGCAAGTTTAATCCAGATCATAAAACAGAACAAATCCAGAGTAAAAGGTTGAAGGGTGATTCAGGATTGGAAATGTTTTAAATAAGAGATGGCCACTTTGGACCAATACTATTTATTTATAATGGTGGTCTCTGGATTTGAGCCAACCATGAGCCATTGGTCTGCAGTCTGTTTCCAGGAAAGAAAGAACAATTGTAGTCAACAGGCACAAACAGGTTATCAGTCCATGGCACGCTAGAAGGGAAAATCCTGCCAGTCCCCTGCATCGGAAATCATTAGTAGTGTTGTTTTAGACAGTATGTTCCTACCTTCACTTACCTATAATTATCAAATTTTGTCCATCTTGCAGCAGGCAGAACTTTAAATATGAAATTAAATGTGTAGCATGCAGTTAAGTACTTGCATACAGCATCTTGTTTCAATTCCTTTATGTTGTATTTTTAATAAGTGTATATGGATGCAACCTGGACATACACAATGGTGTTTATTTCAGATCCAATCCAAACTGGAGCCATGCTCACTTACTAGAAAGTAAAACAGGCAAAGAAGTCAAATTGTTTGCCACTTGTTTAATGTAGTGTGTAATTTTGTCTTGAAAATATTTATAGAAAGGGGAAAGGCAGTATGACACACAAGGAAGAAACAGAAATATATGGTACTACAATCTTCTCAAAAATGTGTGATCCAGAGTTTGATGTCAAAGAAACAAAAAATCCTGCTAATTTGGCTTATTGACAAATACTTTCTTCACATCTCCAGCAACTAAAAAGCTACAAAAGCCAATAGGTCCTTTCTAGTTTAACATATGCAAATTTTACATACCTGGAACATGTCTGTGTTACTGTCATGTGTGTATTCAACCACCACTGTTTGGACTCGTGACAAGGTGTAGGATATACTATGCTGGTCTTTATTACTTATTGCCTGAAAGGAGAAAGAAAGTTATGTTAATACAATCAAAACAAACTAAGCATTACAGTAGAGCACCATAACTGTAGATTATCACGTTCATCATTTTTCAAGTCCTGAAACTGCAATACTCAGCTTTCCATCTCTAATTTCTCATACCCTTGATTTGAGGAAAAAATATCAGATGCTAAAATTGTGATATATCCAAAAAAGTATTGTAACCCTCCATATACAGCTTCTCTCATCATAAATTTAGCATGGCAATGACTCTGCAATATCACTAAGCCACTGATACCCCTTGGCACACTGACTCTGCCAGCTCTGTGTGTCCTGAATGCAACTAGTGTTCTGGAGCAACACAGAACCATAATTGTTCATGGATTCATTTCATTGCTAAAGATGAACTCCTCTACCCCTTTATGTAAGAATATAGCCACACTATATTCAGTAGGATTTGCATCTCAATGACCCGGAGATATGATTGCTCTGTAATCCTATTATGATGGCTCTTGATGCTATTCAATCTACATATCCAGGTCCCTCTCTTACAATATACACTACATCAGGGGTCCTCAAACTAAGGCTCGGGGGCTGGATACGGCCCTCCAAGGTCATTTACCCGGCCCTCGCTCAGGGTCAACCTAAGTCTGAAACGACTTGAAAGTACACAACAACAACAACAACAACAACAAGCCTATCTCATCAGCCAAAAGCAGGTCCACACTTCCCAATGAAATAATAATAAGTTTATATTTGTTAAAATTGTTATTCGTTTTGATTATTGTATTGTTTTTAAGTGTTTTTTGCTCTACAAATAAGATATATACAGTGTGCATAGGAATTCATTCATTTTTTTTTCAAATTACAATTTGGCCCTCCAACAGTTTGAGGGACTGTGACCTGGCCCTCTGTTGAAAGTAGTATATGTCCATGTTTTTCCCCAAAGTCCTATGGAGCCCCTCTTTTGCTGAACACCTTGCATTGGATTCCAATATGGCAAAGCAACATGAATGAATGGACTGCTTTTACATAAAGTACAAGCATTCAGCAAATATTTATACATAGTGACCAAAAAAAAGTCTTACAATTGCACTGTATAAGAATGAGAGATCAGAAAGTGAGAAGGAAAGTGTTCACGTTTTTTGTTAATCATTACTAAGACAAAAAACACCTGTTTCAATTACTTTTGCAGCGGGCCCTTAGTCTCTGTTGTGGTTTGGTTCCAAGACCCACCATGGAATCTAAAATCTGTGGATGCTCAAGTCCCATTATACTACAATGGTATGGCAGAATGGCATCCCTTATACAAAATAGCAAAGTCAGGGTTTGATTTTTGTACTTTTTTTCAAGAAGGGGATATTTTCGAGTTGTGTTTGGTTGAATCTGTTGGTGCAGAATCTGTGGGTGCGGAGAGCCGACTGTGGTGTGGAGAGCTGAAGTGGTGGGAATTAACTGTTCCATTTTTGTTGAGTTGCCATTTTCCTTTATGTCCAAAGCTTGTAGAGAGCAAGTACAGTGTAGTATTTTACTAGGTCTCCAGAAAACCAGGGTATAAATCCTTTTGGCCACGGAAACCCACTGGGTGATCTTGTGCAGGTCATGTTTTTTCAGAATCAGAGAAAGGCAAGTACAAACTACTTCTGAATAATTATTTCCAAGAAAATTCCACGATGGAGTCACCATTAAGTCAGTAAAGGGTTCAAAGGCACAAAACAATACTGCACTAGAATCCTGTACCAGAATGAAATTGAGAAATACCATCATCACTTTCTCTTGACTCCCCTTGTCCCTTGAGCATGGTAGAGATGGAAAAAGCTGTACATTTTTCTAAAATCCCATTTCTCATCCACTACACCAAAAATCCCCCTCTTAATGTATGTTTAGTTTATAGTTTTTGACATAATTTGTCATTGTATCTATAGCTTATTTTTGTAAGCTACTGAGTGGTCTTTAAGTGGAAAACAGCAGAATAAAAAATAGTTAAAGGTATAGCCAATTTCTTGCACTGGACCACACACAGAGTGCTACCTTGCTGCCAAAATGAAAAACTGGGAAGCAGTATTTTTTAAATGTATTTGATTGACATTTGAACAAGAGATTGGCAGCATGACTCTGTTTAATGGCAGTAGCAAAAGATATGAGAATTGCAGAAGTGCCAGAAGTAGACATAATATTGTCCCTGTGATGTAAATCTAGCTTAAATATATAAAGAATGCAGCCAATAGGAGAGCCTTCATGTATCCTTTACTACAGTGGTTCCCAACCTGGGGTCCCAGAAATCCCAGCCAGTTTACCAGCTGTTAGGATTTCTGGGAGTTGAAGGCCAAAAACATCTGGGGACCCCAGGTTGAGAACCACTGCTTTACTATGTGTTATTCTTATAATTTCTTTGTAATCTTTTGAAATGGATCACCCAATTATAGGATTAAAATTATTATTATTATTATTATAATATTACTTGTTACCCTCCTCTCCCCATGGCTCGAGCTAGGACACAATGCAGTTAAAACACACCACATATGGTAAAATGAATATACGTATTAATAAAACAGATGGCTATAACATACATATATTTAAATACATATACAGTATATATGTTTGTCTCTTGGTCTAAAAGAGATGTAGCCTTCACAGTTCATTTCGCTTACATAGAATCATAGACTCAAAGAGTTGGAAGAGACCTCCTGGGCCATCCAGTCCAACCCCCTGCCAAGAAGCAGGAATATTGCATTCAAATCACCCCTGACAGATGGCCATCCAGCTTCTGTTTAAAAACTTCCAAAGAAGGAGCCTCCACCACACTCCGGGGCAGAGAGTTCCAGTGCTGAACGGCTCTCACAGTCAGGAAGTTCTTCCTCATGTTCAGGTGGAATCTCCTCTCTTGTAGTTTGAAGCCATTGTTTCGCATCTGGAGTACATTTTAGCTAATGTCTTAAAAAGTTCTAAGCTAACTGCACAGTCTAAAGTGAATGGAAGTTGGGATCAAAGTAGGCATTTAGATTTTTTTTCATCCCTACTCTTCATCTTCTGAATCACTGTGGTGTTTCAAGATTCCCTTCCCAAAGAAATAAGTCATCTTCCTGAGCCTTCAAGATGGTAGCTTTTGGGTGGCAGACCTTCCATGGGTATGTAAGGTTGACACCCCACCCTTTTGGAGACAAAGTGAGGCTAAGAACCAAAGTGTCGTGTCCTTGATGTTTCCATGCGAACTCTCATTTTGGTGAATGCAAGTGGGGACATACCATGCCCTAAAGTGAGAGTAGTTTGAGCAACTGTAGAAGGAAACTGGCGACACGATCCCTCCCACCCCAACACGTGCAGCTTTATAACATGAAAAACAGGGAAAGCCAATTCATAAGGCGTGCTTCAAACTGATTTCCTTTATTCTCTCACCAGGAGAGCCAGCCCCTCCAGGAGCTGCTGCAAAGGCACTTCATCACTCCTAGCACAGAGTGCTTTGCTATACAAAGCATGCATTTAGAAGCTTAGATTACCAGCCTCCTGTTGAGCTCCCTGAAAGCTCGAATGTACAGATGCTAATTAGGTGCAGGTGTGTCACCTCACTAACTATGAATTAAACAGATCCCCCTCCCCCTTCGAAAGTGCACGACTGATCTAGCCAACAAAACAGACCCAACTGGTCCCACGTAGCACTTCGCAACAGAACACATGTTGCTATGAGACGAGCACATTAGTCATGCCTACTGTTAGCCATATGTTAGCCGAGACACATTGAATGAGTAAGATGCTCAAGATGATTAAGTGCCACGAAGGATGAGAGGCAAAATGTGACAGCTGACACAGCCTTCTCCCCCTCCCAGCTATTACCAGAAGAACATGGAGGAGAAAAAGTTTCTATTTAAGCAGCACTTTTTACTCCAGCTGGTATCCTGTGGTGATTACCAAGTCATTTGAACAAAACCAGTGTAACTAGAAAAACAAAGGAAATGGAAATTTACTCTGTGCAGGATGGGAAACAGCTAGCAAAGCAAATTGTGTTAATATTAACCAGCTAGGTTTGGCAATTTGGGGGACACGGTGGTTATTTGTTTCACAAGGCAATGTTCTGTTGTCAGTTAACTCGTTGATATACTTTCGTGAGTTCAAACTTGTGGTTTGAAGGATAGAATAAGATGAACTTGGAGAAAAGGATGATTTGGGGTTGAGAAGGGCGGGGTAGAAACACAGTAAAATAAACGTGTCACAAGATCTAAATAATCTTTTTCAACATTACAGTGCTGAAGACTGGATTTACAAGATGCTTTTATTTGTTGTGTCTCAAAAGCTTCCATGAGCAATAAACAAATATTTTATATAATAAATTTGATTAATCAATAAATAAATGTCACACTTAAGTATGAACTGTATTTCTTATATATGGCAGGATAGGGAGAAAACTGGGGGCAGGCACTTGAGACAAAATAATTTTGTTTTTGTTGATGGTGTATGTCAGGCCGGCACCTCAGCGGACCTTCAGCTGTTTTGGCCTTCAACTCCCAGAAAAGCCCCAGCCAACTTGTTCAATGGCAGGAATTCTGGGAGCTGAAGTTCAAAATATCTGGAGGACAGAAGGTTACACAAGCCTGCGGTGTGCCTTCGAGTAATTTCTGACTTATGCCAACTCTAAAGCAAACTATCATGGTGTTTTCTTGACAAAATTGATTTAGAATGGGTTTGCCCTTGCCTGCAACAACTGTAATGACTTGTGAGAATTGTCAATGAAGAGACCTTGGACTGGAACTCTGGACTATGATTTGGATTTGTGGACTTAGGCTTGGTTGTGTTCATATTTTAAGTGCCAATATTTTTAATGTATTTTATACTGTTGTTGACTTGTTTGATGTTAATTGTTGTACTGTGGTTGTTTTTGTCGGCATCTAATAATTGCCAGTTGTAAGCTGCCCTGAGTCCCCTTCGGAGGTTGAGAAGGATGGAATACAAATGCTCTAAATGAATAAATGAATAACTGAATTTCTCTGAGGCTGAGAGACAGTGCCTTGCCCAGGGTCACCCAGTAGGTTTCCATAGCTCAGCTGGAATTTGAATCCCAATTCCCAAAATGGTAGTTCAGCACACAGACCATTACAGTATGGACAAAACAATGCAAAGAGAGGCAACATTCCAAAGTGCCTGCATTTTTAACATGACCAGTGCATTTGAAAAAGGTATATAATTCAAACATCTCAGCTCCTTCTAGACTATAAAAACTCTTAAATCAGTCTGCAAATGAAGAGATTACAGACATACCTCAGCTAACAAAGCTCTGACAAGGAAAGTTCTTTCTTATAAAGCCTTTCCCCTTGTGCTCAGCCCCATTTTTCCTCCTCATCTTCTGTTTAACTTGAGGTTTTGAGCAATAGAATAGAAAAAAGGTTTGGAGAAACGCTGACTTTTGGTGTTGCATTGCAGCTGTGTGTCCTGTTGCAGCAAGCAATAAATAAAGCTTGAACATAATTCTAGCTAGTTCTACTGTAGTTAGGTGTGCTACCTGCAACAGTTATGCTTAACTGCAGCTGCTTCTAGAAGCCTTATTGAGAATGGATGAACATCAAAATCAAGAAAAGCAGAAAGCAAATAAGCCTGTCTCACCCAACAGCAGTACGGACCTATAGATTTGGCCACTAAACTGGAAATCGTAAGAAAACTGGAGGTTGGTGAAAGAAAAAAGTAATTACTGGATGCACTATGGAATAAATCTTTAAGTGGCCTCTTGAAGGCTAAAATATTTTTGCGTTCTTTCTCAAGGCTGATCTGATCTGGTTGTTTCATTTCACGTGTACATATTTTGTTAGATTGCTCATCGGAATGGCGTACAGGAAGCACACAACTTCTTTGTTGTGTCAGCTCCACTGGCTGACAGTCTGCTACCAAGCACAATTCAATGGGTTGGTTTTAGCCTATAAAGCCATAAACAGTTCTGGCCCAGCTTACCTGTCTGAACACATTTCCCCCTATGAACCATCTTGGAGATTAAGATTGTCTTGGGAGGCCCTGCTCTCAGTCCTACCTCCTTCACATGCGTGACTGGTGGGGATGAGAGACAGGGGCTTCACCGTGGTGGCTCCTTGGCTGTGGAACTCCCGCTGGAGTGATATTAAATCAGCCCCCTCCCTCCTGGCCTTCAGAAACTAAATGAAAATGTGGCTTTGGGATCAAGCCTTTGGAGAACAATTGTGGTGCAATACATGGATACGGAATATGTGTAATTACTACTGGAATGCCCCCAGATTACAATTGCGGATGGTGTTGAATAGCTGCCTATTAATAAAGCCATCTTGAGTCCTCTTCGGGGTTGAGAAGGGCAGGGTAGAAATATAATAAAATAAATAAATAGTGTTGGATAAATAAGTTTGTTCAAACATGCTAAACTGCCCTCTGTTTTGTGGTGTAGGAGTCAATCCCTACTCTCTGGGACCAAACTTCTTGTTAAAAAAGCGATGCCAGGAACAAATCTACATTGCTAACCGAAGTGCACCTGAAATTAGTTTGAGTTGTACCCCTCACTCCCAGTACTAAAGAGACCTGACAACATAGGAAGCATCACTATATAATTCCAGAAAAATGCCAGTCATACAGCCAATGTTGAAATAATGTTAAAAACAGTATTAGATGTGCTATTTAGGGAACGTTTAACCCAAAGTTCTTGCAGTGAAGTGTTTTGAGCCTGTTCAGTCATGGGTTATCTTTGGCCATAGACTGATCTCTCTCTCTCTCAGAAAAAAATCATCTGGAAGTTGTTGCATGGAGGAGGTTGAGAAACCAAAACATTTTTTTTCAAAAAGACCCTCTATTTCATTGTTGTATGAATAGGATTCAAGAACTAATAATGGTATGGAAAAGGGGTTCTACTCACAAGATGGCCCTATATATATTTTTAAAACTACTAACATAAATGTCTTCCCACAGGGTAAGACTAGCCTTTCAGAGTAAGCGATCTTGTTACACATCCATTCATCTGGTCTCATTTGAACCTGTTTCCAACTTATATTGAGTACATGAAGAAACAAGAGCTGATCTCTAGTGATGGTAACTCATTAAATCAAGCTTACCTTTGCTGCCTGAGGTGTGCAGGCAATATGCACAGTGCTTGGTTTCACCCCATTTGCTTTGGGCCTTTTAAATAAAGCAAACCGGCTTTTTCTTCTTCCTCTGTCTCCATTTGGCAGTGATCCATTGTACCTATGAAAAAGTAGTGAAGGAAGAATTACAAAGCGGATTTGGAGGGAGTAGGTATGCTTTCTGAATTTTCCAGCATCATCACAAAGACGTGGATGACAAGATCTTTAAAAGAAAGCATTATTTCACTACAAGATGTCTTGAGTAGTGGTATTGGTGTATGCCTATACGGAAGGAATATATCTCTAAAGTTTGTGAATGAAAAAGTCTCAAGAATTAAGAATGCAACAAGAAAAAAGGAGCATAACGGACAATGAAGCATTACATTTTAGTTTCTAAGGAAAAGAAAATGTGAACATAGGTATTTAAGAGCACAATGTTTAAAATTATATAAAGAGTTTGCATGACAGATTTGCTGGATTCTATTTTTCAAGACAGCAACAGGTTGTAAATCATCCACTAAACTGTGTCAGACATGAAATAGATCTCATGTTTTGTGTATATGTGCCTTCAAGTCAAACCCACAAATTGTAGTTTGTTGAGATAACAGCAGCAGTGATGGTCTGGATGAGTGAAAACTAATTGAAACTGAATCCAGACAAGAGAGAGGTCCTCCTGGTCAGTTGCAAGATCAAACAGGGCACAGGGTTACAGCCTGTGCTGGACAGGGTTACACTCCACCTGAAGACACAGGTTCTCAGCTTGGGAGTGATCCTAGACTCATCGCTGAGGCTGGAACCCCAGGTTTCAGTGGTGGCTAGGGGAGCTTTTACACAGCTATAATTTGTACCTTGGGAAGTCTGACTTAGCTATGGTGGTCCATGCTCTTGTTACATCCCAAATAGACTACTGCAATGCACTCTATATGGAGTTGCCTTTGAAGACTGCCTGGAAGCTCCAACTAGTCCAACTGTCAACAATCAGGTTACTCACTGGAGTGGCATACAGAGAGCATACAACCCCTCTGTTACACCAGCTCCACTGGCTGCCGATCTGCTACCGAGCACAATTCAAATTGTTTGTCTTAACCTTTAAAGCTCTGAACGGTTCCGGCCCAGATTACTTCTCTGAACGTATCTCCCATTACGAACCATCACAAAGTTTAAGATCAGCTGGAGAGACCCTGCTCTCAATCCCAGCACCATCGCAAACGTGACTGGTGGGGACAAGAAACAGAGCATTCTCAGTGGTGCCCCCTTGCCTGTGGAACTCTCTCCCCAGTGACATCAGATTGGCTACCTCCCTCCTGTTTTATAGAAAAGTAACTCAAAACCTGGTTATGGAATCAAGCATTTGAACAATAGCAGCAGCAATTGGGAATCTATCTATCTATCTATCTATCTATCTATCTATCTATCTATCTATCTATCTTGTAAGCTGCTCTGAGTCCCCTTCAGGGTGAGAAGGACGGCATATAAATTCTGTAAATAAAATAAAATAAAATAAATAAATAAAATACGACTGAATGTGATATGTATGACAATTGACTGTCCCAGGCGCAGATTTTAAACCAGCATGATTTTAATCAAATGCTTCTTAATATTTTAATGTTTTAAAATATGTTTTATAATTGTAGTTAGCACTTGAATGAGTGCTTGTTGTGAAGCCGTAAAAATAACGGGGTACAAATGTACAAAATAAATAAATAAATAAATAAACCTGCTTAGCTTTCAAACTCATAAGGACCTGGTTCTTATGTTATACATTCATCTTGTAAAACCACTGCATGAATGTAAAATTTATTTGAAACTGCCAGACCAGATGTAGCTTAATATGATCCACATGCAAGCTGCATGGTCCACGTATCCCAGCTGAAATTGTCCAATTTGATGCTTTCAATTTGTATGAAGTGTTGCATCACATCCAGTCCTCAGCTCTCTCTGCACTGCTTTCCACAACATTAACTAAACAGATTCATCTTGAACTATGAAGACAGACACTAGTTGCCAGTGAGCTATTCTTCGCACAGTTTGAGATGTGTTCATGCATGTATACATAAATATATGTACACACACTCACCCTGAACAACAAGACAGAACAAAGTCTAATCATTCCGAACGACACATCACCAGTTAGTATCTATTGCATGAAAAAGATGTAGTCATAGTTTAATTTCCCCTTTCTTCTCCTATTATATATTGCTCTCTGGAAATCTATTTTGTGCCCACTGCTCATTATATCCCTAGTCAAGAGAACAAAACAAATGGGTCCTTTGTAGAAGACTACATATGGACTCCTGACAGCAGAAATTCTATGGAGAGTACTGAAACTATATCCAATGTATAAGTTCTCTCTATTACGAATTATCAGCTGTTATGCAATTAAGATTACAAAAAACATTTCCTGAGAAAACAAGGTGGTACCTTTTCCTCTTATGGAAACCACTTGTTCTACTTGTTGTTGTTATTGTTGTTATTATTATAATATTTATAATCATAACCCACTTTATCTCTTCCAAAGGAAATGCAAAGTGGTTTAACATAAAAGCATTAGCACACAATTAAAAATACACAAATATGCAAACATTAAAACAGAATTAAATATAAACAGTATTTTAAAATTCACAATTAAAATCCAGCAACATTTGGACAATGGGGTTCAGGTGTACCAAAAACTGGAAATGACTCTCCTTAAAGTGGGTTTAATGTCTTACAAGAACAGATATTAAAAACAGAAGTGCAGACAAATCTGTTACTATATCCCATTGTTGTTCTAAATGCCCGTATGTTGAAAATAAATGAGTCAACACAGCCCCAAATTAAACCCAATGCCTATAGTGGTAAGGTTAAACAGAGACATAAATGTTTCCTGCAGAATTCAATGGAATGTAAAAGTACTCAACTTTGGTTGAACCATACCCAAGGCCATAAACAGTACATTATGTTCACATGCCTTAACTAACATTGATTCTTTCAACATTAAAGTGTACTGGTTTAACCTGATATCACAATGCTAGAAGAAAATGGGAAATCATTTCATGGTATCTACATTTCTTTGTAAGTAGTTAGACAGTGTGGCAAAGAAAAGGATCAACAAAGAAACGTTTTGCCTTCATTAATACAGACTTTCATCTGAATGTAATGCACTTACCCCAACACAATCAATTCACCATATTTCACTAAGACTTTTGATGGATGATTTTCTTGATCAGGCGAAAACATGGGCCTAGTAGTTCTTTTATCTCAAAGTTCACTTATTGATCAAGAATCTTGGCACACCTTTTTCATTATTTCCTAGAAAAAGAGAAAAGAAAGATGCAGGAGAAATTAGTTGTGCCTACTAACGTTGTCAAACACCAGATTACATTTACTGACTTTGTAGACCCACCTAAAGTATATTGTTATCAGAACTTGAAAGTAACTTGTTGTAAGACACTCCTATTTCCAATAATAAAAGTATGATTACATTGGGTTGTTGTAGGTTTTGCCTCCAGAACATGGCCATATAGCCCGGAAAAACCTACAACAACCCAGTGATTCCGGTCATGAAAGCCTTCGACAATATATGATTATATTGCTTTACTAGTGAAACCTAATGGGAAGAAACTGCACTTTTTTATAACTGTGTGTATACATGTCTTCACATCTACTGATTTATGGCAAACCCATGAATTTCACAGTGTATTCTTTGGCAAGAAAAACTCAAAGGGGTTTTGACTGTTCATTTCTCTGAAATACAGTCTACATCACCTTGTATTTGTTGGCAAGTACTAACTAGAGCTGGCCCTGCTTAGATTCCAAGATCAGGTGGGATCTGGTGCCAATGGGGTATTGTTGAAGCAAAAGTGGAAGTGAATGGAAGACACTGTATTTTGTACAACAAACCCGTGTTTGTGGTATTTCTATGATTTTTTAAAAAGAAATTTTAAAGGCGCAGTCCTATGGTGTTTCCTTATTTGGAAATTTAAAACCTCTAAAATTCAAAACGTTTTGCCAACATTAACCTGTTTCCACCTTTGTGGCAGAAGCAGTGGTGTTCCTGCTAGCATTTGTAAAATGGTAGGATCTGTGGATTTCCATCATTTCACAGATCTTTAGTTTTTCTCCAGCTGAAACAACTGCAGCAATATGAAAGAGGGAGTGCTGTTGGATAATTCTGAGCATGTGCAGAATAGCCACCCTCCTCCCTCCCCCAACTGCAGGACCATGATGTATTGGACATCATGTGAATGGAGGAGGGCTCTGTGCTGAGGATCAAGCAGCTTCACCACTGAACCACATGTCACAGTGTCAGCAACCATGTCAACTAACCTGGCAGAGGCACCCAGACAGAAGAGTAGTGTTGCTACCCACAGTCACCACTTCACTGCTCTCACTGTTGCCATTTCCCTCCTTCTCCGCCCTTGATGGAGAACATAAGTAGCTGCCATGAGTGGACGCAGAGAAAACTGGCCAGAGCAATCTCACTCATACCACTTTCAGTCATTTGGCTCATTCAGTCACAACTTGGAAAAGGGAACTAAGAAGTCCACTTCACAAAGTGTTCACCAAGAGTAGGGACAGAGAGAGCAGAAGGCAGAGCAGCCCCATAATCTCAGTCACACAATGTTATGTCACCTGACTCTCAAGTGACTATTTGCATGAGGACAGGAAAACAGGGCAATGTGGCTTACCATAGAAAGAGGGATGGTTGTCGCGGTTTAAGGTTGCAGGGGCTCTTATTTCATATCAGTTGGCATAGAAAGAGAGAACTTGGAAAGCCGCAGAGTAGCAAAAGATAGAGAGTCTCTTTTACACTCTGGTTGCAAACCAGTAAATCAAATTGTAATCCAGCATGCTAATTTACACGAGTAGCTCCAGTTGGAGCTTAATTATGTATTTATTATATTCATTTGTTACATAGCTACCCATAGGCTAGGAGGAAGACGTGAGAATCTTTAAAATGGTAGAGTCATAAGTGTGTATTCCCAAAGCATTTGCAATAAGCATTACTCAACCTATACCATAATCCTTCTAGCAATAGTTAGTGTAATCAGAATCTGCTATATACTACAAAACCAACTTTAGGTTCTTCTCCCTTATAAACATTCAAGTTCAAAAATTTAGATAGTTAATAAAGTTTAGGACCCAACTCTATTGTTTGGTCTCATTATTTCCTACTTGGTAAGCAATTTGCTTTATACTACAAACCTCTTTTGAACTATTCTGAATGGCGTTTCTGTGAATGTTCAGACCTATACGTGCAGAGACCACAAAGAAGAACATACCGTACAGTTAACTACTTTTTAAGAATTACACCTGTAACCAGTTGTTTCAAAAAGTAACTTCAAAAGCCTGAGTACTATTCTGTTAATTGCAATTTGCACAAGATGTCCTGCCTGGATAACCAACTTTTCTCTCTGCCTGATAGCTAGTGAGAATCAACTTGTGAAGAAAATTGCTTTCGGGTTTGGTTCCAAATTTCAGTGGGTCTCTGTGGATACAAAATCCATGGATATGGAAGTCCAGCTGTATTTTTAATGATCTTGACAGGCTACAGCAGTTCTTGAATGGCAGTCCTAAAAATTAGTATAACACATAGAGAATTATATTTGAAGTTTGCAGGCTCCTTATTAGCTTTGGGAGAATATTTCAGCCTTGTTTGATTGACAAGGTCAGGATGGGTCATCAGAGAAGCTCCAGTAGCTACTGACTAGAAGGCCATGTTATAGGCTTGAAATGTACAGAACTCCTAAAAACTGTACTGATCTGTGTTTGTGTGGCATGTATTCACCTTTTGCCATTTTACCCAAGGGTGTGTGCATATTGCAGAAATATGCCTCAAGAAACAATTAGTGCCCTGGCACATGTTGATTTACCATGGTGAAGGAAATGGTTAGCATGATGATGAAATGAGGCCTATACTGAACAGGAAAATTATATCTTTAAAAAATTCTCAAAATAAAAAAATATGGCCAACTCTCACTACCAATACACCATGCTCCATGTATACTATATCTAAGGTGCTTTTCATCTACCAATTCTCATGTGCTGTGTTTCCTATCTTACATTATCAAATAAGACATGCAGCTTTTCTCAAAGCATTCATGCCAATGACCATCTTATTAATCACATTCTTGGAGTGTAAGGTGGCATTCTAATTCCATACCATGAAAGATAGACAAGAGATGAGCAACACACCCCTTCATAGCCCAAGGCCAGTTGGAGAAGCTTTATCACTAACCAAACATATGAATCTGGATCATGCTAGCTTTTGGTGGGTTTGGCATTAGCAGTCCACAAAAATTTAAAAATAAATTGGTAGATAATTTGTCATTAACCTCAGAGACATTCTGAAGCAATCATGTTAATAATCGTAGATCCTGGATCTTGTAGTAATGATGGATCTATATGTTTAATTTGATGCATAAAATGACAAAAATGCTAAAATAAATATACGAATACTTTATTTCAAAATGTATAACAGCAAAGTCCTTGTTTAAGCACTAGGAATATCCTATGCAGGGAGGCAGCTAAGAGTTGATTATTAAATCTTCTGAAATCTATATCCATATTGTGGATAAGAAAAGGGATAGGGTGGTGAAGTACTTCAAATAATTTCTATATAAAATATTTACTTCACTAGAACCAAGAAACTACCCAGCTAGTTCATGAATACAACAAGGACATGATTATATACTTGAATCACACAGCATAACAAACATTTCAGACATAACTCTAAATTCCAAGATGCCAGTATTTTCTATCTCTTTCTTTAAAAGGCTAGAATAAGAGTTGAGAGTCAGTGTGGTTCAGTGGTCTGATTATCAAGCGAGTATACCAGGAGACCAGGTTTCAAATCCCTGCTCAGTCACATAAATCAATTGGGTAGCTTCAGAGGAAGGCAAAGGCAAACTCCCTCTGATCAAATCTTGCCAAGAAAATCCCATATTAGGACCCCAATAAGTCAAATATGACTTGAAGACACATGATAACAAAAATAAAAGTGCTCTTGCAATAAAATTACTTTATTTTCCAGACAAAGCTAGAAAGACTAATCTTCCCAATTTTCAACTGAAAAGAAAAAAGGTTTACAGTGTACTGACTGAAAGATTTTTTTAAAAAAAGAACCACAGAATGTGCCACTTCTGAAGCAAAACCACATGCTTTTAACAACTGCTCAAATATTGGAAAATGTTTTCCCTTTCATGTCCTCCACCTTCCAAGCCCACATTTCCCGAGGAGAGAGTACAAAGACTTGTACAAGTAGTAACAGAGATGCATGAATGCTGTGTTACAAATTATACAACTTTTAAATATTTCTGTCCTCTCAAGAACTCCACTTGTTCAGTGACTGGAAAACCTACATCACCAAACCTGAGAAAAAATTTCTTATCCCTTCACTAAGGGGGTAATTTGAGAACACAGTACTGTAGAAGTACATGCCAGAAACAATTATACTCAACCAAGACTGAGGAACTCTAGTATCTCTGCCTTGCACTGTTCCAAATATGTTTTATTTACAGATAAGAATGAGCAGAAATAAACCTGTAGAAACTGAAGGAAAAAAACAATGTTGCATGTCTTATCATAGGATTTTCTGTTTTGCTTGCTCAAAATTCTGTATGGCTACAATGTCCATGAGCACATAGACTGACCAAATTTTTGTCACTGAGTTTTATCTGTAACCATCAGGATGACCATTTTTAGTTTTCAAGGTTACAAAATTGATGCTCCAACAATGTTTGATTACTGGTGTTAAGGAAGAGTAAACAACTTTCTTTTTCCAAGGGAAAAGTCACACAGTAGTGAAAACCTCCTCATGGCCTGTGAAGTAACTTTATTTCTCTTAAGATCCAGATCGTATGGGAAGATACCAGAAAAAATGGAAACTACACATTATACTTGGGCAAGCACTCCCAAGATCTGAGCATTAGTTCACAGGATTTTAAAATTATTTTCAGCTTTTACAGTTCAAGTACAATGTCCTGAGTTCACCTTGTGTAGGCAAGGTTTAAAGATAGCAGCCAGTAAGTGGGAAGTAAAATTATAATTTGGACACTGGTAGTGAAAATTTACCCTTTCTTCCTTTTAGAACTGCACATGTTTCATATCTGTATGAGTAAAGAACATCCCTTTTTTGCCAACTAATCAAATGCAATTAAAATCATGTTCAATCATAGATCTCTTTTTCTAAAAAATATTATTTTTAAACAGATAACACTGAATATTTATGCCTATAAACAAAAAGTGTGAATACCTAATCTTGAGCTATGCTGCTTAATTCAGAATTTGGGAGACTCCAAGCACACATGAATGAAGGAACAGGAAAGAATGCAAAAGGTTTGGAAGTCATCTTCTAGATCAGTGGTTCTCAACTCGTGGGTCCCCAGATGTTTTGGCCTTCAACTCCCAGAAATCCTAACAGCTGGTAATTTGGCTGGGATTTCTAGGAGTTGTAGGACAAAGCAACTGGGGACTCACAGGCTGAGAACCACTGTACTATTGGCCCGCTCCACGAGGCATGCAGTACACTGGATTTGAGGATCCCTGTTGCAGTGGAAACAGAACCTCTTTTATTTGTTTATTAATTTGTTTAAATGTTAATGAAGATGCCTTTCTGGAGAAAAACATTATATGGTAATTCTTTTGTCACTCTCCTACTTCTTTGCTGCTAGATCAACTGAGATGCCTGGGTATTTTTAGATTTGATCAGTGTGGTTACACTATGAATGAGATAGTTAACTGTCTTGTTGCTCTTAATACAGAGCACATAGAAGAACTATGATAGTTGGCTCAAGCACTCGTCATATCTAGTCCTGGGTCTCAAATGAGATATTCTAGCAGTACATGAAAAATGACTGATTTGTATAGAGCAGGGGTCCTTAAACTAAGGTCCGGGGGCCGGATACGACCCTCCAAGGTCATTTACCCGGCTCTCACTTACGATCAACCCAAGTCTGAAATGACTTGGAAGCACACAGCAACAGCAACAACAACCCTATCTCATCAGCCAAAAGCAGGCCCACACGTCCCATTGAAATACTAATAAGTTCATATCTGTTAAAATTGTTCTTCATTTTAATTATTATATTGTTTTTAAGTGTTTTTTGCGATACAAATAAGATATGTGCAGTGTGCATAGGAATTCATTCATGTTTTTTTTTCAAATTACAATCTGGCCCAACTGTTTGAGAGACTGTGACCTGGCCCTCTGTTTAAAAAGTTTGAGGACCCCTGATATAGAGAGTCGGAAATTAGTGAAAGCAGCACAGAATTTCTATGGATTAAATAGATTCGGTTTATTCCCCTAATAAATAAAACATTTGTTGCTGTTGTTGTTGTTATGCTACATGTTTTCCAATTGCCAATGAGTTACAGTAACTCTATCTTAAGATTTTCTTAGCAAGGTTTATTCAGAGGATGTTTGCCATTGCTCTAAGAACTAAGACAGAATGACTTGCCCAAGCTTATCCACTGCTTTTCCATGCAAGTCTGAAAGGAAATTTGAACTTGATCAATTCTGACTGCTAAAGGCCAGCTGAGGGAGCTGATTTTAACTCTTGAAATCCTCAGTACCTTAGATTTTGCTTATCTTAAGACATCCCTGCTTTTCTAAGGATTGCCACAGCTTACAATGTACACCTTTGACCAAAAGTACCGCTAATGGAATATCCATACACATTCATCTAGAGCCATAATAAGACTGCAAGCATTCATTTTCATCTTTACATATTTTTGCATTCATGGAGGATAGTTCCAGGACTTCCCATGGACATGGAACACTGTTTGTAATAGGAAACATTCTATTTTTAGCTCTTGTTCACTATCCCCTCCACCCCAGTTCACATCCTGCCCCATGGGGGAAAGAGTAGCTGAAGTTCCTCAATTTCATTGCCAGAACTGAGACAGAAGGACTTGCCCAAGCTTATCCACTGCTTTTCCATGCAACTCTCAAAGGAAATTTGAACTTGATCAATTCTGACTGGTATGAACCATTTGCTTTGCTTCATCAACTTTAGCCATCCTTCTCTCTGGCACCAAAGCAACAGCAGCAGGAATGATTCTTCCTGTTTACACTCCCCAAACCCAAGGGCATTCTGTAAACAGCAGATAAATGGAACCATGGATATGGGAACTGAGAATAAAGTGCTCATACTGTACACAGCTTTACATGGAAATCCCAAATCTTTTGAAGGCAATGTTGTCTTCCAGATGTTTTTAATAATTACCATCATCCCAAGATGGAAAGACCAATGGTTAGGTATTGTGGATGCTACTTTCCTAAACTTCTGGAAGGCAACACGGAAATATTTTTTTTCATGTCAGGAGCGACTTGAGAAACTGCAAGTCGCTTCTGGTGTGAGAATTGGCCATCTGCAAGGATGTTGCTCAGGGGACGCCCGGATGTTTGATGTTTTACTATCTTGTGGGAGGCTTCTCCCATGTCCCCGTATGGGAAGCTAGAGCTGACATATGGGAGCTCACCCCGCCCTCTGATTCAAACCACTGAACTTTTGGTCAGCAGTCCTACCAGCACAAGGGTTTAACCCACTGCGCCACCTGGGGCTCCTTGAACAATGATTAGCCTTAACTACACCTTTGACAAGCAAGTCAACATTGTAATCTAAGTCCTGAATTTGGCTTATTCCTTCAAACTGTAATTACGAGTAATCTCAAGCAACTGTACTTACTCAAAAGCCAAAGGGAATTTTAAAAATCTCCTCCTTGCAACCATATCAGAAAAGGATAGGAGGGGAGCCAGAAGCATATGATCACTTCAGCTCATTCCTATAATGGCCAACCATAGGGTTTTTAAAAGAATCAGTACTGGACAGAAAACTACTGGAAAAATAATTGTTAATCAACTTGTTGTAGGAGTTTCTTACCATCTTTTATTACTGTCAATTTGAAGTTTTAAAATGTATTTTAGATAGTTAGTTTAGATTAAGGTTATTTCAGAATAATGCCTTCAGAACTCGAGCCAAATACAAAACCTAAACAAATCATATTTTAAGAAAAAATGAAGAACATTTTGCTGTTCTGAAAATGAAACAGCTGATCTTTCTCTGAGGAAACCACAACACCAACCCACATATTATCTGTGATGTTCTCAGCTTCCCACACATTGTGTCTCAGAATTACATGCATCTTTTTCACCCTTTTCCTTTTTGCACTGCATGGCCATTTTAATCTTCTGAGGGTGACATTGCCATCTACATTTAACTGAGACTTTTCCTCTGCGCCAGAGTAGTAATAAAAGTCTTTCCCCCACCATCATTTTTATCCCACCTACCTCGACCATGTCTTGAGGTAAATTATACAAGCTATTTTCTAGATTAGCTCCAAGTCTAAGACCCAGAAGTTGCAGAAATGCCAGGTCATGCATCAATAGCAAAGAAGTGAGGCTAGGTTTCTGTCTGCTGTGGTCATGACTGAACAAATCCCTGCAAAAGACAAAGAAGAGTTCATCAAGGCCAACTAGAAGCTTCTGGGAAGGTTACACTAGCATGTAAAAAAAATTACTCCTCTGTTTGTGCAGTCCCAACAAATCAATCTTGCCAGATGTTTTGCCAGTCTGAAAATATTATTTTTTGGATTCTCGTTTATGCTCTACCCTTTGATTATTCAAATCCAACTTTATTTTCTTGTCTCATCCCCTGTGTCTTGGTGTTACTTTCCTTTGTAAAGAAGCATTTTGTGATTCCTAATTCTATTCCATAAATGGTAGCTAGCATGGTATAACACTTTGGGAATTAGACTAGAACAGGGCTTTAAAAATCTCACAACCCCTTTCAGCTCGAGAAAATTTTATGCGACTCCAGGTACAGAGGTATATAAAACAGATATACAATCAAACATTTAGTGATGATAAACCAACATTTGCTAGGATTGCTAAACAGACGGATTTTCCTTTTTGTGGAGTGCAGCTAAAGCATTTCCTGCAGAGTCCACTGTAAACATTGCACATGGTTGCTAACAGATTTGTGTAAATCAGTGACATTCAAAAACCTTTTATTGTTGCCATTTTTTGTGACACCAACACTGAACTAAGGGAATCCTATCTGGGGTTGGGACCCATACTTTAAGCAGCAGTGGACCAAAACATTACAAGACCTGGGTTCAAATCTGCTCAGCTACGGAAACCCACTGGTGATTTTACTCCTTTTTGGGCAAGCCAGTGTCAGAGGAGGGCAACCCCAATCTGAAAATTCCTTTTAAATTCCCCTTTGTGCTGGAGATTGCTCACACAGGGGTGTGGGGGTTGGATGGTCCATAAGCTGTTTTCTAATGGACAGGGTGTGATCACAGTGGCTGCTGCCTTTCACAGCCTTTCACACTGCATATATCTCATTTGTAGTGCAAAAAACAAAAACAAAAAGGGAAGAACAATACAATATTTAAAACGAAGAACAAATTTAATCAACATAATCTTAACAGTATTTCAGTGGAAGACCTCAGGGGACATCTAGTCCAGTGGTTCTCAACCTTCCTAATGCCACAACTCCTTAATACAGTTCCTCATATTGTGATGATTTATTTATTTACTTTACTTATATACCGCTGTTCTCAGCCCAAAGGCGACTCACATGATCCCCAACCATAAAATTATTTTGTTGCTACTTTGTAACTGTAATTTTGTTACTGTTATGAACTGTAATGTAAATATCCAATATGCAGGATTTACTTTCATTGTTACAAATTGAACATAATTAAAGCATAATGATTAATCACAAAAACAATATATTTGAGGGAGTATTGACAACAGATGGTGGGATTTGCAGAACCTTCAACTTCTTCAGCTCTGACTTACTCAGACCACTGAGACTCCCACAGGTGACAAATCTGAACCAAACTTGGCACACAGAACTCCTTCTTTTCTTTCTTATTACTTGAAATAAAATAAAATGTGTTTGAAAAAAAAGAACTCCAAGTTTGGGAAGAATTGACAATTACGGATTTTGATCTATCCCATGGATAGGTCAAGGGTCATTCCACAGAAAGGGGAAACCTTCTCAACCACCATTTTTCTAGTCAGACATTCAAAAAGGCCAGAAGCAATGTCACAGTGGAGAAAGGAGAGGGTGGTGATGCTTGGTGCTTCTTTTGGGTTCTCTTGGTTGAGCTAAGCTCTTGCCTTTCGCCACTATACTCAAGATAAGGGATTGATTCCTTAAAAAAAATAGAGTTATGGTATAGTAATCACACTGACCCATGAATAAATCATCCCATGTTTTGGGGGGGGGGGGGTTGAACTTTTGACTAAAAATTCTAGACTTACATATGAATATGTAGGGAAAGCTCTTCTGCTCTTCAAACTCAAGCAGGAAGCCCCTTTGTGAAGTCTTTTGTCAAAAATCTATTTTAGAGAAACCAGTGCACACACTGCCTTTACAGAGATAGAATGCAGCTTGTATAGTCTCTACCTGTCCATTTTCCTTTCACATTTCCTCCATCTCTTCCCCAATATGTCATTTCTCTATTTGTCTTACACAGATTTGCCTCTTGCTTTTAGATTCATATATTCTGCCCCTAGAAGTGTAACGACTTAAGTATCTGCACACTACATACGTTTTTGTACGATCATCATAGTTTACCTTATAAACTTAACAAGCTGAACACAGGTGCATTGTTATCCACATGTACATACAGCTTGGTCTGACACAGTCACTAATGTTCAATAAGCAATTTTGTATCTTTTTGCCATTCTCCTTCAGCCTTTACTGTACTATCCATAATTCCTCGCAGTCTCTCCTCTTCCTGCTTTCCTTTCCTACATTTCTCACTCCAATATTCTCCAACTTTCTCTCATATTTCTTCAAATACTGCCGCTTCCAAACCTGTAGAGCTACTCACATGGCTTCTATTCAGGAGTTCCCTCCCCAGAAAATATAAACCACAGCTACAGCAGAAAAGGTACAGCCACCAATTAGATCAAGAATGATTGATTACAATGAACTATTCAGAGTATCATTCTGTGTGGGATAAGAAGAAAGTTGGATATCTTATATAAGGGTCTCTTACAATGGTGATACATATCCGGATTTACATTTTTTAAGTATTTACCATTAATTGGCCATTTGCAATAATTTCATTAAGGAATGTATTTCAAATTACTTTCCTCTCTTGATTTTCAAAAAGCACCAAAGAATCTAATTTTATAAACAGCCATTTGATTTTCAAAAATTAAAACTAATGTAAGCACTCTGAATGACTTTAATTCTGAGTTCATGCCAAAATTGGTACAGCTCATTACTTAAAAACTTCAGTTTTGCTGAAAGAAACAGGCTTCTGGGTGAGAAAACAGCAATGGTAATTGGAGACAGGGATGGTGTTTTCCAACCTCTGTGGAATAACCTTCGACTTATCCACGGGTGATACCAAAATCCAATGTTATAGCTCCAGAAAGTACCCTTGAGATTGACTTATACACACATATATAATAATCTTAAGATAGCGATTTAAGTGGTTCCTTATTCATTCAAACAGAAATATGCCTCAAATAAACTGGATTGAGACGCTTACAAACACTTACAATGAGTCTTCTTGCTCTCCATAAAATTCTCACACATCCCACCATACACACTCACAGTATGCCAGCAGAAACTCTATGTGTGTGGACACAGAGGCCCACCAGTTAAAATTAAAACGAGAGAGAATGAGAGATGTAACTCAAATTATCCATAAGTATACTTCAACAAGTCAGCCAACCAGCAAGCTTTCAAGCATGAAGTGTGAATTGCCTTGTCTTCTTTCATGTCAGCCATCAGGGTTATACATGCTTTAAAAGGGGGCTGGCCCTGACTTCAGTAAGCAAAATAAACACTTGGTAAAAGGCAAATCCCATTGGCTAGAGTCGGAACTTGCATCTTGCTTACCTTCCCCAAATCAATCCCTACTTACAAAGAAAGGGGGAGGGGACACAGTTTTTCAAAGGCAGACTTAAAAAAACCCAGCAGCTCTTCAGGAGTGGAGCTTTGAAAAGAGAGAGGTGGAAACTGAGAGGGACAAAGAAAGAGATTCTGTTCTATTTCCTTGTCAGCCTGCATTACATAACTGTACTGAAACATGATGTTACACTATGGAGCCTTTAAAAGCCCCACAAAAATTAGCATCTACAAGTTTTATTCACCTCCCACATCATCAGTGACTCTCTTATGCAGTAGATATTAATACCTACTTTCCAAAGCAGTAGAAATGCCTTAGGCACAGGGCATTCTGAATCACAGATTCATCACAACGGTCATTCATTCCAATAAACGTGCTCATACCTAGCAATACCAGTTGTGTTTGCCCACCCGTTTCTCAAGATAAACACTTGAGTTTCAGGCACAACCCAAACTGCCCTGAGTTTTGAGGCATCAATGTCCTCTTTCAGTGCCTCTGATATCCTGCATCACAAAGGCAAAAGAACTCTTTGGCTAGTCTTGGACACCCACACAACCATCTACATGAGGGTAAAATGAGGCAGGTCTGAAAGGTCAATGGACCAGAAATGCTAAAAACCTTGTATAAGCTTGCTGCCAAGTGTTGAGGTAAGCCAAGAGAAACAAGCCATTTGATTCCTCCAACTGAGGCATTTTCACACTCCTGGATTGTACCAGACCAAGAATGCAATGAATGGTTTACATAACTTGAAAGGGGTCCTCGGGGTTTGAAGATGGTTCTTCCGATAGCACAAATAAAAAAATTCCAGCTATCTCTAAAGATTGTAATAGTACATTTGGATTTAACATCCTGCTTAATATTCAGAGGGCCCAGAACAGAATATAGAAAATATAATTTCTAATTTTTTTGCAAGCAAGTATATTCTTTGGTTTTTAAAAACAGTAATTGGAAATAGCAGTAATCAAAGCTGCCTGCACAGACAGACTGCTTTTTACAACTCTTCCCTTTGTATGACAGACACTACATGATATACATTTTTGGCATGGATTTCAGAATAGAGTTGCACATCCATAACTTTTACTCAGAAAGGTTATCTTGGAGAATTAGAAAGGGCATTGTTGCGCAGCTCTGTTCCATCATCTCACTTTCCAGAACTAATTTCACTATCATGTGTTGGACAAATGCAGCTAAAACTTGAAATCTTCTTTCACAGTTTTTGTAATTGAAACATTATTTACGTTTGCTTGTAGGTTTGCTTTTTGGAAAAAATGTTTAAACCACCTTTCAGCCAATATGATGGCAATATGGTAAGGGTTCCAGCCTGAAATGTCAAAAGCAGTCAATTATGGGCCTAAGCACAGACTAAAATATATTTCCATACGTTTTAATAAATTCTTATATATGATCCATAAAGCTCAATTCATCTCCTACTGCACTACTGCATAGTCTTTCTACAATTATGACAGAACAACTACTTCACCCCAAAGTTTCTAATCCTGTGGATGGTAAACAAATGAATTTTTTTTATTAGAATAAAACAAGCCATTTTAATAGAAGT